TTGTGGTACTGATTTCCAATATGCCAGCCCTGAACATGCATAAATGTGTCTATTTCTGAATAAATATGACATGCTCATAGAGCTGTAAAGGCAACTATTTTTTTTATCATATCCTCTATATGGGCCTTTGCTAATACCCGACTTGCCCTGCATGTATATATAATGCACCCATGAATGAAATAGTGAGTGAGTGAGTTTGGGCTTTACGCCGCTTTTAGCAATATTCCAGCAATATCACGGCGGGGGACAACAGAAATGGACTTCACACATTGTACCCATGTCGGGAATCGACCCGGGTCTTCGGCGTGACGAGCGAACGCATTAACCACTAGGCTACCTGACCGCACCCATGAATGAAATAAGTACCCATGATACATATTTGGGGCCTTTACTGTACAACCGGCCCAGCATGTGTATGGAAAGCATTCAGAAACGTATGAATCTAAAGACCAAACTACACATCTGGGGCCAGGGCAACACACAAATGAGCCTGGAAAAGTATGGAATGTAAACAATATATGTCTGGGTCCCGTTCCTCAAAGCGATCCTAGCGCTAAGGTGATCGTAAGTCCCATACTTTAACATAGGCTTACGATCATCGTAGTGCTAAGATCGCTTTGTAGAACGGGCCCCTGGTGACTAAAATACAGATTTGGGGCTGAAGGTAAAATATACCTGCCTGGGTATATATTTTTTTCAATGTCTTGAATCGTACATTGAAACATTATTACCCACCTTCGTACAATCATGTAAACTTCTTTGCATCTCATACCTTACCAAGCCTCTTGGTCGGAGCATAGTAAGTTAGTTCAAGGACCTGTTCAAAGCAAGCTTAGTGCTAAGGCCATCGTAAGTCTATTTTTAAGTATGGGAGTTATGACAGTTGTAGCCCAAAGATTGCTTTGTGGAATGGGACTGTATTTGATCGAAGTAGCATTCTTTTCATTGGGCATGTGGCATGCAAAGAAAACCTTCCCTTCGAGTGGCAGCTTGGTATGGGAGGAAAGTCCTGATACATTTACCACATTGGTGAAAATCAAGAACCTGGGTGTGGTGTTGACAGACCAACGGTCATTATCACTGCAAATCTGAGGATCCTGACCTGGCTAAGGGAGGCAACTCTGCAGTGTCATTGGTGACTGGGTCACCTGTTCCCCTATTGATAGCAAGAACACTACAATATATTCTGTGAAGAAATTACTGCATATTGATTCCATGTCTTGTATGTAACAAATGCAATTTGTTGTACTCTCCTCATGGAGCTGAGAATGTAGTTTTGAATACCCACTGATCTGTTGACAAAGATAATGTCATGTGCTTTAAACAAGTCCATATGTGGTGTGGAGTCTTGCATAATATGAGTGTCTATTATTATTATTATTATTCTACTTTGTCATGAAGACGATACTCATGATCAAACAGTCCCAAGTTGATAGTGCAATCCTCCAGTGCATGATATCAGGCACGAAACTCAAGGGGCCCTTGTCATTGCCCTAATGTTAATACTTAAAGATAGAGTGAGTGAGTGAGTGAGTGAGTGAGTGAGTGAGTGAGTGAGTGAGTGAGTGAGTGTGTGAGTGAGTGAGTGAGTGAGTGAGTGAGTGAGTGAGTGAGTGAGTGAGTGAGTGAGTTGGGATTAACGCCCCTTTAACAGTATTCCAGTTATAACTCGACGAGTCAGCTTAATGTGGGAGGGAAGTGAGGCAGGTTGCAGATGTTTCTCACTTTGCTGAAACCCACAAGCTTAGGTATGGTGCTGACAAACCTTGAAACATAATCGTGGCGAACCGGGATTTGAACCCACTATCATATGTCTCTTGAGTGCCCAAGGGGTGCTTCTTTGCACAATTGCAGTGCCTTAGTCGAGTGGGCCACCTGTGCCCCCTTAAACATATAGAAGTTCAAATACATGGGGGCAAAATCTCAATGAACCCCAACCCCCTTCATTCGGACCACGGCTCTAGATTGCAGCAATCCTCTGAAACAGATCCCTCCACCTGTCATAGCAACGCCACCAACACCCCTCTCCAACCATACAACGACAATGTCAAAGATACAATACAAGCATGCTTAAGACAAAATTCCACGTGTCATGCACAAAAGAAAGAACTATCTGGTAAAAAACATTTGAAACAAAATAAGGCAAGTTGTTTTTAGTATTTAGCATAGAAGATATTAGTCAAGCCAGCATGAACCCAGATGTAGATTTGACATTGTTGGATGAGACTAGGTTAATCATTGCTAAGACGGCAGGTTACAGAAAAATAAAGTCACTTTTCTGTCAAAATTGCGATAGAGAGAGAGTGATAGAAGCATTGAGAGAAAATTAGAATAATTACGATTATAGAAAAGTGACTTTACCCATTACAAGAAATAAACAACAAAATTGTTCATCAACACATATTTATTAACAAACAATAGAAGTACAAAAGTTGTGAAAATCGTACATAAATTCTACATGTTGATGAACCAATACGTCTAATACAAGCTAAGGGTTTATGCTGGCTTGAGTTTATTAACAAAAGGAAAAACGGATAATTGGGCTCACTGGTTGAGGCATTCCCAACCATAGATGTTTAGATTTTCATTTATTTCATAAGACTTGAACATTATTCTACGGGATAATATTTACTGTGACTATATACTCATGTCATCTTTGGCAAGAATCAACTATGACTTCATAATATCAATTCGAAATATTTCACTGAAATCAATTCACAACCAATATGCCTTATCCACTGAAAATATGTGTCTCAAATTGCAATCAAAAAGAATTCATTTATATCTCTTGAAAATATTAGTATTGGTCAAGCCATAAACGGTAGGAAAAGAAATTCCGAAAGTTACGTGACATTTTGAATACAAATTTTACAGATTAAATTGTATAAAGAAGAAATAAAAATCTCCCTTCCAGTTAGATGCTACTCAGATTTAAGAAAGGACATCAAAATTGACAAACATTTGAGACACAACATTTTGAACACCAAGAAAAAATAACAAAACAGACATGCAATTTATTATGGAATGTACAAAATACAATATGGCTGCCTAATGGTGGAAAATATAGGTGTGGAATAACAACTCTATCACATAGCTGGTAACACCATCAACAAATATTTTGATATGTAATCAATATGATAAAGTTGACATATTGTAATGAATAACACGCCATATACAAGTCTATGATTTTGATTCAAGCCTGGATAATCAGCTATAGGGAATGTTCACGAAGGATGGATAAAAAAATGCAATTTGTCTGTTTATACTACAGTCGAACAACATCCCAATAGAGATCTCTGTGAATTTAATCAACACCACAAAAGAGGTAGACAATTAACAAACGAGATACATGTAATATCTATCTAAACAATCTACCGCTAAGCTAGTCTTCCGAGAGTGAACGTCACGATTGAAAAATCTGAGCATTGATAACAACTAGCAATCATGGATACACAATAAATTGAAAAAAATAAAAATGGGTAATATCAAAAGCAAAAAAATAAACTTATATCAATAATTAGTATCCAGAATTATAGAAGAATATATTTGAGCAAAAATATATATCTGACAATATTGAGATGCATTTAAAAACTAATTTGGACATACATAGATCTAGAAATTGTACAAAAAGGTGAATTGAAATTCAGGTTTATATTGAGGCAGTAATTGGAGAAAGGCTTTATTACAGATATATAGACCATGTGTTCACCTGGCAGTGTAGGAAAAGGCCTACGTTAACGCAAACCATCTTTCACATCTACATTATCTTCAACCCATAGTTTACATACTGACACAGTAAGCACCAAGTTTCGATTGCAAAACAAAAAACCCAACCCCTTCTACAACTTTCAATACACAGATTAAAAAATAGTATCCAAAGCAAATATTGATAATCCAAATGAAAAGATAACCTTAAAACAACTACCGATATTGATCTTGCTTCCCTCTACATTCATCGATAATAAATACTTGTGTGCTCTTCATACTAAACTCCACATCATCCATCCGACACATAATGTCCTAATACTCTCATCTGAAAATACTAAAATCCAACATTTCCTTTTAAAGTACTTATTATGCATATAATTATCTCCCATGATATCATACTTAAGAAGAATTTCCATCCAGGAGCGAGTATGTTTTTAGCCACTTTTTGCAATATTCAGCAAAATAATGGCAGTGATACCAAAAATGGGCTTCAAACCTGGGCCTTGAGTGTGACAAGCAAACGACTGAACCACCAAGCTACCCTACCACCCCTTATATTTTTACTTCATCAGTGTTCCATTGGCATGGAATGCATTAAAACTCGGAACTATAAGGCTCTCCACTGTCTGGTCAAGGAAATACTAACAGAATCCCAATTGACTAAATCTTTTTCAAAGTGTGCTTATCATATAATTATTACATTGAGTGCTGAGAAATTGAATAATTTACCTGCGATACTTAAAATGTGTTTAAGGTCTTCAACCACAACAACCGTCCTCCAAGACTAACATCATTTGAACAACAGGAAATTAGGTGTATCTTGACTGGCTTAATTCAATTCTTAATAAACTTATTCATATCTCGAAACAGTCACAAAATGACAAATATTTAATAGCTCAGAGGTCTGAAAATGGACACGGTCTGCAATAATCTAAATCAAAATGTTGTATACTTCATTTGAAAAGAAATGGAATCAGGACGATCACTTGTAGGGCCACCTTTGGAGATAAGCATAGTGCCATTTAACATGTGGCGTGATATTGCTTGCCTTTGATGTCATACGGCTGCATTGAACAATCATAAACCGAGATTAATCTCTGCTCTGTCTTGCTTTCTACAATGGAGGGTTTCATTTGAACAAGTAGCATAATCCCTCTTGGGACACGGGGCAAACTGACACGAACACTATGTCACAATGACCCAACTAGGTCGCTACGACATTCACCCTGCTGTGACAACCGTGAGTGGACATTGCATGCACCGTCGATGGACAAATGAAAACTAGTCTGCACCTGTGAGGGAAGGAGGGTCGTGGGTGTCTGGGAGATGGGAGAGTTTGGCCACCGTCAGGCGCACCACCTCCGCCGTTGACTTCAGCGCTCCTACAGCATCCTCGTGCGTTACATCCTCCAAGTTCATCTCATTCACCTGGAGACACACAGACAGAGGGGAATTGAAATTCAGGGATGGACGGATGTAGAATGATATAACAACAGATAATAAAATTCGATCATATGTGTTTTGTTTTTGTTTGTAGTGTAACTCCACAATCAGCAATATTCCAGCTACAAGATGGCTGCGTGTAAATAATTGAGTCTGGACCAGACAATCCAGTGACTGACATCATGAGCATCGGCCAACGCAATTGGGATATGGTGCCATTCATCAACAAGGTCACCGAGCGTCTGATCCATTCGGTCGCCTCTTATGACCAGCATTTCCAGGTTTACTGGCATGCATGCCCCCACTGAAGTTCTCATATTGGTCACACTGACAACGAACAACAACCAGTTCTAACCAGGAATAGGGGCGGTCGGGTAGCCTAGTGGTTAAAGCGTTGGCTCGTCACGCCGAAGACCCGGGTTCGATTCCCGACATGGGTACAATGTGTGAAGCCCATTTCTGGTGTCCCCCGCCGTGATATTGCTGGAATATTGCTAAAAGCGGCGTAAAACCATACTCACTCACTCACTCTAACCAGGAATCCCCATGGGCAGCGTGTGTGAGTTAGTGAGTGAGTGAGTGAGTGAGTGAGTGAGTGAGTGAGAGAGAGTGAGTGAGTGAGTGGGTTTTAACGCCGCTTTTAACAGTATTCCAGTTATATCACGGCGTGTCAGCTTTATGTTGGAAAGCCTGAAGTGATGCTGGTCTTAGACATTTACCACTTCGATGAAACACACGAGCACAGGTATGGTGTTGACAAACCTAGAAACATAATCGGGGCGAAACGGGAATCGAACCCACAATCATAGGTTTCTGGCGTGTCCAAGGGACCCAACTCTGCACAGCGAACATGGGTGCCTTAGACGACTGGGCCACCCGTGCACCTTAACGAAACAAGGCTCATTATCTTGACAAATCAGGGATCTGAATCAATAATGGCTAAGGGAGGCAACTCTTCCACTTACAGCGATGAGTCTGTCCCCCGTCTCCAGCCGCCCGTCCTGCTCTGCAGCTCCACCTTCGATGATCTTCGTCACGAAGATGCCATTGTCTCCCGGAATGTGCTGGTTTCCCTGGCCACCAGCAATACTGAAACCCAGGCCTGAAACACACAACATACATTCAGGTTATTCAGGTACGGAACTGACAGTCCTCTAGTCGGTGACAAGGAAATTCACAAAGGACCCCTGACATTTACTTGTGGACTAAAACTCTTACCATACAGTAGATGGCCACTTTGTAGCAGTTCATTTTTGATGACGTTTGTGTAAAATAATAATTCATTTCTATCCATGATTAATATTGTAGGTCTCTGAAGCTGAAATGAATTATGAAGAAAAATGGCGGCCATTTTTAAAAATGGATTACCAAATTCTGTACTGCATGTTATACCAAGCACCAAGAGTGAGTGAGTGAGTGAGTATGGTTTAACGCCGCTTTTAGCAATATTCCAGCAATATCACTGCGGGGGACACCAGAAATGGGCTTCACACATTGTACCAATGTTGGGAATCGAACCCGGGTCTTCGGCGTGACCACTAGCTTAGGCTACCTGACCGCCCCCAAGCACCAAGAGCTAACCAAAGGTCACTCAGACTTGTTGTCCAAATGATTTCTGAGAAACAAGACAAGGTACTGGAGCTCACCTGGTTTGATCAGTATTACATGTATTGATCCCACTTGCTTTATGACCAAATGAATTTACATCAACATACTTCAGCATATAAACAACGCCCTACAAATAATTTTGTCAGGGTCAGGAATGCAATAAATAAAACAACTGCATAATGGAAATTATTCTGAATGTGATAATAAAACCCATGGTTCATACAGATATGGAACACGAAAATTCAAGGCCTTTTCAAGTCTGTTCAGTCTGTCAATATTTTTTTAGTGAGTGAGTTAAAACTTTAAGTCACATCGTCAATATTTCAGCCATATCGTGACTATCAAGGGTCAATATGTTTTTGGTTTTTTTAAATCCAGCACACTGTACATTAGTCGTAAGACCTAAAAAGCAGTAAGAACATCACAAATTTTCAAACAAGATTGATTTTCACAACCAGGATATGAATAAGTTAACTCTGTCATGAAATCTATCACTGTGATAAATCACACTTAAACTTCCTTGGTACATAACTGTTAGCCTTGTGTGTCTTTATACTTTTAATTGACAAATTTATGTCATTTTGTACAAATTTTGGTGATTTTCAAGGCTTTTCAAGCTATTTTGGGGGATTTTCAAGGCTTTTAAATGTTGACACTAAAAATCAAGGCTTTACAAGAGGAACCTTACAATTCAAGACCTCAAGCCTGGACTGCCTTGAATCCTCTTCTGCTCTATTTACAGTTGGTTTTACACTCCCACACTCAAAATTTAATATCAGATGATGTGGCAAAAACCACCTCAGCCGATAATGCAAACAGCACAAATCAATGGAGTTATTACCAATACTCAAATGGATGGTCATTGCAACATCGTAACTACCGGAGGGGAGGCGGGTTTTATTCCTTCAGATATAATGTTATTGTGTCAGTTCTAATGACAACAAAGTCCACTGTTATTTTCTATAAGGCCTTACAATCCTACAATTCTCACAGCTAACAGATCCAATAGCAGTGTTCGAAATCGAGGGTTCCAGGAGGTTTGCTGCCATAGTTATCGAGGGACCCCTAAACCTTCAATTTTTAAACATTAGGGTTATGATGGTTTGTTTGTTTGTTGTTTAACGCTGCACTCAGCAATATTCCAGCTATATGACGAAGGTCTGTAAATAATCGAGTCTGCACCAGACAATCATGAACATCGAGCCTGACCACCCGATCCCGTTAGTCGCCTCTTACGACAAGCTTGGATTGCTGAAGACCAGTTCTACCCCGGATCTTCACAGGTCATTAGGATTATGAGAAGGACCTTATAACATCCATGCTTAATTTCACTGGTTAGCATGAAGAGCGTTGAGTCCAGATTAGCTTCATGGCCCAGTATAGGCAATGGGGTGGCCCAGTGGTTAAAGTGCTACAGCTAAAATCCTGGTTTGATTCCTAACAATATACGACTGCCTTCGTGGTCCAGTGGTAGAGCATTCGCCTGGAGAGTGGAAGGTCCGCAGTAACTCTTACTTGAACTATTTTTGTAAATAAACACCATTTTTTATTGTTGATTTCCTTATTCATGCTAATCCGTTCTGCAAAAAGATCCTCGGCTTGAACTAGATAGCCTACCAGCTGACAGTGTAAAAATCAATACTAGCATCCAGCATGAGTGAGTGAGTGAGTATGGTTTTACGCCGCTTTTAGCAATATTCCAGCAATATCACGGCGGGGGACACCAGAAATGGGCTTCACACATTGTACCCATGTCGGGAATCGAACCCGGGTCTTCGGCGTGACGAGCGAACGCTTTAACCACTAGGCTACCCGACCGCCCCGCATCCAGCATGACGAAGCCGGAAGTAAGTATACCGTATATCGCTGTGTATAAGGCGAGTTTTTCGTACCTAGAATGAGGGGGTTAAGAAGGGGGGTCGTCTTATACACAGAGTCGAAGACCTCACATTTTTTTCCACTTTCAGCTTCAACTGGCGATGTCAACCGGCGTTCGATAGCCAGCCCAGCATTTGACAATAAAACTTCGCATTTCGTCCTAAATAACTTTTCCAAAAACTGTTTCCATACATAAACATGATTTGTATCTGTTTTCCTTGAATAAAGTTTAATCATTTCTGCAAATAAAGTTGAAATGACCCTCGCCTCGATGCAGATTGTCAAGCCAGCTGACACGGTAAAACAATCAACATCCGTGAGTAGAGAGTCGGAAGTACCGGAAAGCATTTGCATATTGCACATGTGACCTAACATGTTATAACGAGTGAAGCTGAAATCAATTCCTGCTGTTTATACAGTTGTATTAACAACTGTTGGAGATGGAATAAACACGCTGAATGTGAAGCAAACATAAGCCTAGTTAGTTACAACATAGTTAATTGGCGATTAAATTACTCACCATTGTCTCTTATGTTATTACTTCATAAATGAATTTTATTTTACGGGCACCAATTTGGTGTTGTACCGTGTAAACAGAAAATGACAACATGTGCTGGAGTTACACCCGCGACCAATCATCGTAGAAAAAACAACGCAAGATAAACATATTTTTATTGCATATATAAGGTTTGTGTGCACACTTGTGATGCTTCATTCCAGGTCGCCTTATACATGGAGTATAGGATTTGGGGTCGATTTTGAAGGCGTGTACAGGAGGGTCGTCTTATACATGGGGTCGCTTCATACACAGTGGGATCATCTCAACCAGCTGCTAAATACTTAGTTTATGTTATTATCAATAGATATTCCATGGAAATCATCACTGCATATCCATTGTTCCCTTCAATGACTATCTGATTATACGGTGGTACTGAAATGAACTTGGCCCAGTCGTCTAAGGCGCTGCGATTCGCTGTGCAGAGTTGGGTCCCTTGGGCACGCCAGAAACCTATGATTGTGGGTTCGAACCCCGGTTCACCCCAATTATGTTTCTAGGTTTGTCAGCACCATACCCGAGCTCGTGGGTTTCACCTGCATCACTTCAGGCTTTCCTCCCACATTAAGCTGACACGCCGCGATATGACTGGAATACTGTTAAAAGCGGTGTTAAACCCAACTCACTCACTCACTCAATGAAATGAACTGGAAAGTAGATTAAACTATAACTAACAATAAAATTCAATTTTCTTAACATGAGATGAGCCCATCTGTTGCACACATGATATAACATGTGATACCTAACCGGTAGTCATTTCCCATTGACTTTACAGCTCTTAGTGTGTGCTGTGAAAGACATGTATCGGAGATTTTTACAAAAGACATTGATAATTTAACAAAACAAAGCTCAACTAATTAACACAGGGTTATTTGGTGAAACAAACAGCATTATCTCACTAAGGATCAAACCTGTTGCCTCTTTTTACTTTATTTCACAGGCAGCTATCCAATGTAGGTACAGGGTTAAACTGAACTCAATAGCTACAATAGCCTGGGTAAAGATAAAATGCCCTGGAAATGTTAAAACTATGGGGAAATTTGTACTAGCCAGTAGGAATTTGTAGCATCCTGCAGGAATTTGTACTAGCCAGTAGGAATTTATACTAGCCAGCAGGAATTTGCACTAGCCAGCAGGAATTTATACTAGCCTGTAGGAATTTATACTAGCCAGTAGGAATTTGTACTAGCCAGTAGGAATTTATACTAGCCAGCAGGAATTTGCACTAGCCAGCAGGAATTTATACTAGTCAGTGGGAATTTACACTTGCCAGTAGGAATTTGTACTAGCCAGTAGGAATTTATACTAGCCAGCAGGAATTTGCACTAGCCAGTAGGAATTTGTACTAGCCAGTAGGAATTTATACTAGCCAGCAGGAATTTACACTAGCCAGTAGGAATTTGCACTAGCCAGTAGGAATTTGTACTAGCCAGCAGGAATTTGCACTAGCCAGCAGGAATTTACACTAGCCAGTAGGAATTTACACTAGCCAGTAAGAATTTGTACTAGCCAGTAGGAATTTGTACTAGCCAGTAGGAATTTGTACTAGCCAGTAGGAATTTGTACTAGCCCCTGGCCTGCATGCGCTGGAGTTATTTATGCGAAAAAGCAAAGAATAAAACCCAACTTGTATATACTACTAACATAAAAGCTAAGGACTGCCTGATTCTTTCACATAACTACAGTGTTCCAGTTTACCGGTAATTACCAGTTTTTTACTGGTAAAATCAGGCTTGGACCGGTATTTCATGTGACTGTGGACCGGCAAATAAAGTACCTTGTATATCTTTGTTGTTGATCAAAACATCAGCGATATTCATATTTTTAGTGCAAGGAAATAACATTTTGCTTTGATTCAAGGTTAAACATATATTTGTAGCCAATTAGTCTCGAAATTTTCAAAAACAAGAGAAAATTGTCTCTGAAGTTTGTGTGAATGATGTGTAGATTTCACTAAGTAACTTCAGCATGTGTTCAGAGATGATGTCATTGCATCGAACACGATGTTGAAAGAACTCAAACGAGGTAATTTTCACGTTTTTTTATTTGTTGACTGACAG